CTCTAAGTTGCCAACTTTCGAGGGAAATTGCAAACACTCACCTTCTAGTATGAGGAGCCCATTCCCATCTGAGAGGACTTCCACCATCGGACGAAACGATTCCTCGGTCAATTCCACGATTGAGTTGCCTGTCAGATTAAGAATTGTGTTCGGCGTGAGACCTGCAAGGAAGAAGGGGAATGCTTTGTTTTTGGGCCGTTCCATTTCCCCTTTCTTGGGAAAAATTGAGTTTTTTTCTTAAATCAGAATTTCATGCAAAAGAGTAGATGCTTATATTCGCCGAAAATTAATTTGGATGAAATTATTTTTAAATTTAGAGGAATAGCTAAATAACGAGGTTCTAACCAGTTCTATCCTAGAATTTCAGTCTCAACAATGCTCATGCACATGAATTTCGTTTCTTCAATTTTGAAGTTCATCAGGGAGAGGATTTCTCTTTCTCATTTCATGAATACAGGTAGCAGGTTATCTTTATTTTGAAATTGGTGGTGAAAAGCTGCTGCTTGGTTTCAAGGTGGTACTGTGAGGGCTCATACCAGTGATAGCTGCCATTTCCAGGCGTTCAACGTTGTTATATTGGATCGACACTGAACCCAATGCCTCGCTGTTGAATTTTAAGAATCCATACGACAGATCTGGTCCCAGGTTGCAGCCGTTGCAGTTAAATGTCTCAAGGTTCGTCAACCCCTCTAGAACTTCCGATGGGGATTCCGAGAGGGGATTGCCACCTGCTCGAAGTGAAGAATTCTCAGCGACAAAAAAAAACACGCTTTCTGAGCGTAATTATGAAGCAGCATCCTTACCTATTATTAGAGCTTTCAAATTAGGAGTAGACCAGCCAGTCTCGTTGAGCGCGGAAATTTGATTGACTCCCAGGTAAAGATCCTCAAGAGTCATGCTTTGCAGAGGAGCCACGACCCCACCGATTTTTGTACCGCCAACGAACAGATTCTTCAGACGGATCAGCTGTGGGAGGACGTGGAAGGGGAAATCCTCCAGAGGGCAACGCCCGATATTTAGGAATTCAAGTGTGTCCGCTGATGGGACTATGGCTGAAGGATGCAGAGCGACCACGGCGCAGTACCACATTTCTATTACCTCGAAGGTGACTTCCCCGAAGACTCCCTCAGGCAACTCGAGAACGCTGGTGTTGTTGCGCAGTTTGAAGTGCCTGCAAGGTGGAAGAAGCTTGAACAGACGTTCCTTCCAGCTGCTCAGTAGTTTTTCCCGTGAACTTTGAATCTCGGTTTTTGCATGTAAACGAAGAAAAGGATTTTTTGCGGGGTTCGTTTCATCCGTGGCATCAATTCATGAATTCATGATTAATAATATGGTAATTTATTAATACAAGTGTAAAATCCCAAACCCAAATCCTTAAGGTCCTGAGATCAAGATTGACTGACCTTGCTCCCTTACCTCCTACTCCCCATTAGTGAGCGAAACAAACAAAACCTAGATATGGGATCAGGTTTCACCAGAATGGGGAGCAAGTCTAAACTTCTCAATACGTTTTATTCCGTGGGTCTAAAAAAATGAATTCGTAAAACCAAAAAATTTATTGTGCCAAACTTTGCTATAGAAAAAAACTTAAAAGGCATAATAAGAACGAACTAACGACCAGGAACTGGAAAAAAAAATTCGTAAAAAGAAAAATTCGTCTTATAGGTGTTCGTTGAGCGTCGACTGTTTTGTTGTAGTGGAGCAGAAATGGAGCAGAGCTTTAGATAAAATTTGAGCGAACGATGCGCGCACACATACCAATAATGTTAAGGCATTAAAAGAAACTTGCGCGAGGCGATTGAAGGGCCAGGCGACATCGTTGAAGATCGCGAAGATATCGGAGCCCGTCTCTGCTTTAGAGCAATCCACGTCCACATTCATCGTGGCTTCGTCGTACTGACAGGTGCAGGGATATATCTGGTCGGGGTCGGGGCACGGTGCCTGCCTGGGTGCCTCCCTGGATGTTTCTCTGGGCACCCCGCAGACGAAGGGAAGGAGGAAGAGCCAGGAGGTGTTCATCTTCGAGGCTGGAG